CAAAAATCTTTAATTTTATATGTCATAACTTACAAATACTTTTCGTGGGTTACAAGTTGTCTGGGTGGTTGGTTACAAGTTTTATGAGTGGTTGGTTATTTTCAGAGTGGTGGGTTACAACTTTTAGGAGTTGTGGGTTACAACTTTTTGGTGGAGTTCGATATGGTTTAGATTGTGTTACAAGCTTTGTGGATTAGGTTCCAACCTGTGTGGATTAAGTTACAACCATTATGCCTGCTTATGTTTGATTAAGAGCAAATTTCTTATGGTTGCTTATGGTGTGATTTTATTGTTTATGACTTCTTACTTATTAGATATATCGATAAGTTAATATGTAAATGATTTTGTTATGTTTCTTTTATGTGTATTGTTTACCAATCATGAGAAAGGAAAATTTGGCAGGCTATTTGTTTGTCGAATACAATTACAACAATGTAAATACTTGTTTTATAATATTTTTGGGATACTCAGATTCTTTTGTATTAGGTTAACAACATATTGCATTGAACAGGACAAAGAAGAGACAAATCGAAGCTAGACATCAAGTGGAGCATCACACGTGCAAAAGGATTTCATCGCCAAGGAGTGCAACCTCTAGTACTTAAGTTAAAAAAGTTAATAGCAAACTCACATTTCTTTTAAGCATTACATTCAACAATTTCAGTATTTAATTGTCATATTGTTGCACACTTTTGTAGAATATACTTGCAACCCAATGCTCACCCCAAAAAGTAGTAACCTTAATTGAAACATTAATGGCTGAACAGAAACTCGGGGTGGCAGAAATTGGATTGGGGGGCTTGTTAAGTTTGAAAATCCACAATGTTAAGAAAGGGCTTTGCTGGTAGTTACTTGAACAATTTGATCCAACTACTTGTTTGTTGAACGTATCCAACAAATCTATACAATTTTGTCCTAAGGATGTGGAGTACATTTTGGGGTTGCATTGTGGAGGGGATGATTTGGAAACCAATGAATCTACATCGAGAATAACTGATGTTACGAAGAAAATTTTTGAAGGAAAAGTTCTCTTGTCAACGATTGATATAGAGAAGAAAATAAAGAAAATGAAAGAAGATTCTCAACAATTTCGGCAATACTTTGTGTTGTATATAAAATTAAAATTAGTAAGCACTTTCTTCCCATTGTTGAAGACTTGGCATCTTTGAAGTGTAAGAACTGGGCAAAGTTTGTATTTGACTACATGATTCAGGCGGTACGTGACTACAAGATGGCTCCCCGCAATAGTATCAGGGGTTGCATTATTCTCCTTATGGTGACGTATTATACTCATTGATTATTTCTTTCTAATTTTGGTTTAACTTACCCATAATTAATTATTTGTTGTCTTCTAACTAGATTTTCTTCTTTGAACCCGTCACACCTATGGGGAAGAATCTGGTTGATTTGGCATCATGACCCTGCCCTCGTATTGGAGAATGAGATGACATAAAAATAGGTGCGCACCTTGTGCAACTAAAGGAGTTAAGTGGATATAAAAATGACAAGGTAAGCCATTTGTATCATATCGTTACAACACACATCATGGATTATTTAGTATATTAATGAGATCTAACATTATTTTCAAATGTATATTGCATGGTCGATGTAGATTAAGGTGACGGTTACTGATGTATGTCAGCATCGGCTATCAACTGATGCATGCGTCAACGTAGAAGTAGATGTATGTTTATTACTCAACACCTTACCATTGCTACCATATGTTTTATGCAACACCCAATTTAGATTGTTCATTTGTTCACAAATTGTTCCATTGTTCACATATTGTTCATTTGTTTTGTTCAGGATTTTGACTCAAGATTGTGAAGATTAGAGGTGACACAGACTACAATGAAATTAGATTTTCGAGATTTGTGTCTCAAGGTTGATGTCGAGCTTTCGACTATAAAGGACTTATTAAGGAATTTATCTGACTGAGTCAACGCCATCGATAACAAATTAGAAGGTGTTGAGGAATTGAATAAGAATGAAAGAGGTGATGGGGAATTGGATATAAAAAATGTTGATGATGATGACGGTGATGGCGACGACAACGTAAGTGAATCATGATATATTTTTTTAATTATTTGGATATTAGAATACTAAATGCCTTAACTGGTAATATTAGATAATTATATTCATACCATTGCAGGATAAAGATGATACTGATATGCCAGAGGGGGTACCCTCACATAACAAGAGTCCTCCGAAGCTACGAGAAGTCAATATGGGAGTACATACTCGACAATTACTTAAAAAAATTGTAAGTGAATCCATTATTTATCAAACATTATTCTTTCAGCATAATTGGTACGCTGCATTGACAAATTGATACCATTTCAATACATGCAGAGGTTCTTGTAGATTTTGAAGACATCATATTTTCGGCGACTCGGAAGTCAATGCAGTCCTTATGTGGAATGGAGTGGATAGCTGATGATGTACTAGATTGTTTTTTAATGCATTATTACCATCAATTATTTTGCCAAAGTAGTATACAATACCCAATATTTTATTTTTGTCCTGATTAACAGGTGATAAATATGGTTCACTGTGTTATGTCACCCGAAACCAAGATCAACCGCACCAACCAAAATGCCAGATGGTACTTCCCAACAATGTTTTCAGTAAAGTATACATACTCCTCATTGTTGGGTTGTGTGATACTCATGATATGTGTTTGTTAATCGTACATACTTAATAAATGGTTTTGGCAGCAAGCAACAATTACGAGGAAGAATAAAGGAAAAAATTTCTTAAATTCTGTTATTAGACAAACTTTTTCCCGTTTCATTGGTGACATTAAAAATTACGATAAGGTTTGACATTCTCATTTTAGTTTATATAGGTCCTTGTCATTAATTATGGTGTACATATATGTGTGTTCTCATTTATCATTGTATTATTTTCGTGTCATTGTAGATATATTTACCCATAAATGATGCAAATTCCCATTGGTACCTCACCATAGTAGATGTCCCAAAAAAGGAAATCTTGTTTCTCGATACTTTGCCTACTGCTCAAAGGAATCTGAGACGAGTTTAGCAGACAAAGAAAACGGTAACGTTTGTACAACCTAAATTATTTAGGGCTTGTGTAATGAAGTACCTGTCATCTCACACATTAAAATAATATAGTTGTTTCCTTAAATAGGTGATGGTGTTATGTCATCTAATACGTGAGGTGATCACCGATGTGGAAGAAATGCATGAATGGCCGATTATTCAGCCAAATTGGGTGCCCGTACAGAAGAATGGCTATGATTGCGGTATGCATGTTATATTGATGATCCAAGAGCCAGAGTTGGGTCCAGATTTCCCTATAAAGGTGTTAATTTATTGCATACATGATATTACAATGTTACTGTTAACTTCAATATAGTATTGTATTTTGCGTGGTTGAGTGAAGTTAATGTTGTTTTACAAATGCTCTTGTAGGAACCTATGACAGAAATGCGAAGGGAATTAGGCCTAAAATTGGTCATACACGACAATAACATTAAGAAAGACGCAACAATATATAAGGCAGTAATGCATTCATATATGAAGAACTAATTAATTCAGTCATTGTGGTAAGCTATACTAATTTGTGGAAGTTGGAGGTTTTTTCATACTTTTATATTATATACATATATATAATATATATTTATATTTATATTTTTTGAAAATGACTGAATGAGTGGGTTATACCCTTTGTTGGTGGAGTTTTTACGTTGTTTGGGTAGGGTTATTACTTTTTTTGTATTTGGTTCCTACTTTTGGGTTGTGATTCCAACTTTTATGGATTATGTTCCAACTATTTTGGATTGGTGTTACAACTAGAGTGGATTACAATTTGTTGGGATGGGTTCCAACTCATTTTCTTGCATGAGTTGTATATTTGTGTTTACTTTGGCTGTGAAACCATCATTTCGAAATCATTTACTCCAACTACCATCATATAACCATTAGATCTTTAAAGAAGAATAAAATCTAACCATTGCTGATTTGAGTAAAGGTTTGAAGATGCTTTTAGGGGTTAAATTGTGCAATTACATGTGGCTCTCAATGGTTTACATGACACTTGAGGGTGAGGCTCTCCTTATGATCTAGATTTGTGAGCATTCTGTGATGTCAGAGGTAAATATGTATTCCTTAGCTGACAGATGCTTGTAAACAAAGAAATGTGTATTTATGTGAAAGTTTAGTTGTTAATGAAATAAAGTGGTCTTGTCATCTTCAACATTTGAATGCTCAAGCTCTACTGCTTCGAGGGGGAACTGTGATTTTCTTTCCTTTTTGGTTCTAATGCCAATTCAGCTCCAAAACATAATGTTGTTTTTTTATATTGTGAAGTAATTTAACACGTACATATTTTGTTCAATTGGTTCATAGACAGCCTCTACCTTTACCTTTTTGGCAATTTGTTTTGATAGCATATGTTTTCTGTGGTGTCTATGGAAATAATTTTGATGTATCTTAAAGTTGTGTTTTTTGAGTAATTGGGATTTGGGAGTAGTTAGAGATTCTTGCATTTTTTTGAATAATACTTTTTGTAGTTACCTTTACTTTTCGCTTTTTCTTTTGGTTTCTTTTTGGTATGGGAGTCTCACTTTTTTGTGCATAGATTATCATGTTATGAGGTTTGGTGTTTCTGACAAAGTTCACATCTCGGAACGAGTTCAAGTACTAGTAGGAGCTTGAGCTTGAGCAACATTACCAATTTTATTGTTGGCCATTGCCAACTTTTAGTTTTGCAAAATTGTATGGTTAGGAATTAGAAGGAAATTGCATCTGCCCTCATTTTCTATTGATTGACTATATTTCACTGAAATTTATAAATTTCAAATGAAGGGAGTTGTTGGGCATTCTCAACGGTTACTGCTGTGGAAGGAATAAATCAGATTGTAACAGGTGATTTAACAGTCCTATTAGAGCAGGAGTTGGTGGAATGTGAAAATTCTTATAATCAAGGATACAATGGTGGTCTTATGGATTATGCTTTTCAATTTATCATCAACAATGGTGGAATTGAATCTGAGGAAGATTACCCTTACCGAGTTCTTGATGGCAGATGTGATTAGAATCGAGTACAAGAACGACACCATAATCTGCAAGGAGGTCTTCCTCACCCCCGTCGTCCTCAAAGAGTGTCGCCGCATCGTCGCCAACAGCGAGGTGGGTCTTTCTTCTTCTTCTTCTTCTTCATATAATCAATGCCTTATTATTTTTCTATTTATTGCTTGTTTATTTGTTTGATTATTGAGGAAGATGTTGGAATTAGAGGAGCAAATACGTGGGTTTTGATTTGAATATGTGGAGTTAAGTTTGCTTCTTTGATTTGATAGTTAGGGTTTAGGGCTTTAGGGTATTCTTCAAGTTCATCCCCTTTTTTTCGGGTTATTTTCTCAGTTAATCTGTTTGGTTCCTTTGAAAACTGAGGAAAATTAGAAGAAGTAAATTGTTAAATCCTTTGCTGTCACTTGAATTGTGGACTATTCAATATGTCTTTGAGTTTGGGACTTGTAAGAGAAAGAAAAGTAGAATTTCAATTTGTGTAATCTCTCATTATTGGCTATATGGTCTTCCTCCACAAGCTCATTCAATGTATAATAACACACGTTAGCTGGCTTTTGTTGTGTGGGTGACACTATTGTGTCCATATCACCATTAATAATTTGTCTCAAGGGTAATCATTTTGTATGGCACAGGACATCAAAAGGACTCTAACCACTACCATGTGGCTAGGGATGTTTCTTGGCCTTTGTTGCTCCTCTTTGGGGGAAGGTTTTGGTCTTGCCAAGATCACTTCAATAGGCCTTGAATCTGACATTATTACATGTTAATCCCAATATACTAGACTTCTTCGTTTGCTGATATATTGTCACACAATGTAACAGAGCAAGGGCAACCCAATGAGGGTAAAAGCACTAAAATGAGGTCTGGCTGTACCAAACTGGGCTCGTCTGAATGCTGGCAGGAAGGTCAGCAATGCTTGATGAGCATTGGTATTTATGGGGTCTTGAAGGACAAAGGGATGATGGCACCACCTGGATTGCAAGGAGGAAAAATTTAAGTGTTTGTTAAACTATCTGTTGATGCACATCAAGACACCCTTTTTCACCACGTTTCCTTTGTTTGTATAAACTTCATGTGGCATCACTGTATATGTAAATCTAGCTCTTTCGTATTTGTTGTATAACAATTTACCTGAATTGACATTAAAATTTTATGGTCCAGCCTTGGAGTGCTTGGTTTCATAAACATCAAGCGGTATTATAAATAATCCCATTTTTAGAAAAGTAATGGGATTATTTGTTATGCACTAATGTGAAAAGTAATATTTGGTGATTCAAAAGGATGACATTTAACTCCTACATTCTTCATTCCCAAAAAATATGAGATCACAATGAGATCATGTCAACTCTTAGGTTTTTGCATTGTAATTTTTTTTGACAAATTTGTGTTTTAGAGGTTGGCGATTCAATATATTCTATCTTTTCGATTTAATGGACTTAATTCTGGCACCTTTTCTACATTGGACGGTTAATAATATCACACATTAATCTAATTCGATTATACTTATGCAATAAAATACTTTTTTGTGTAAAGGAAATAAAAAAATAAAATAGTGGGCCTAATAAAAAGTATATCTCTCATATTTTTTATTTCTCTTATTTTCCATCATTCATACCAAAGGAGTATAAGGAGTATAAAACTAGGAAATATTGCAGAAATGTACTAATTTTTCAAATTAAAAAAAAAAAAAGAACAGATGCTCGTCTATTAATTTTTTTTTTCCAAAGTATTTTCTTTTTATTATTTTTCGCTGAGCTTCTCCTACACGTTACCCAACCCATAGACGCTCAAGTACTTCTCTCCCCTTCCCCTTCCCCTCCCCTATCTCATTCACTCTCATTCTCTGTCTTTCCCTCAAGACTCCAAAGCGTCATCACCACCGCCACATCGCCACCACCGCAACTCTAGGTATGATTTCTCTAATTGGCTCCCATCTCTCTTTCTCTCTCGCTTTTTATCTTTGCTCCCACTGAAACTCCACCAAAACCCCCCATAAAACTAGACCAAAAACCCTGAAAATCCCATTGAAACTGAAGACACACACACAAATCCCACACCCTCTACGTCTCTCTATCTCACGAGTTTTAGACAGTCAATCACACACACTAGCACACACATATCGCACATACAAAAACCCACACACACAGATACATTGCACATATAGATACACACCCACACATACATCACACTCACCCAGCCACCTATTTTTGGTGTTTTGTATTAGTTTGATATTTTTAGGTGTTTTGTGTTGGTTTGATATGTTTGGGTATTTTGTAACTTTTCTATGAATTTTCTCATATTGGGTACTTTGTTGGAATTGGTCTAAATTATACATAATTTATGAAATTAACTGCATAGCCTAATCGCACAACCATTGAAAAATGGATGATATTACTAACTTTTGCTCCTTAGTTCTAAAGAATTTGAAATTTGATTAATTTGTCGACTCATTTTTCTTTTTTTTATGTACTATGTTAATGCTCTCTTCTTCTAAGAGTGCATTCAATTTCTTATAAAATGCTATTATTTTTGTGTTTACTTTGCTAGACGTGATGAATAGTGATAATTTCACGGCAATATTTGCAATGAAAGTTGTATTCATGAAAATAATTGGGATAAAAGGCATATGCTTGATCATTGAGGTGGAGGAGATTAAAATAAATATATTTTGATTTGAGTTCTTATTTGATGTTACATTGCTTGGTTTTCTTCAAACTCGCAATTGAATTTGAGGTTTATACCAATTCAATTGGATTTTAGTTTGGAGTTATTTTGTTTTTATTACTTTTTTTGGGATTGTTTAATTATTTGGCATTGTTCAATTTTGTAGCCACGCCAAATTGGATACCAAAAATTGGGTAGAGAGTGAAGCTACTATGTTAACTACGAGGAATTTTGTGTTTTCTCTTTAAGGTACTTGATTTAACATTTGTTCTTGGCATATGAAAGAAGTTTATGCGTGTAATTGGGTTTAGACTTTAGACAATATTTTGGGTGCTATAGAGAGTTTTGAAAATTTCTTTGCTTTTAACATACATCTTTTTGGAGATATGATTAGTGGCTTGATGTGATTATTATTATATATGATGTTGATGGTTATATGTTTTGTTTGAATTTATGTATGATTGCCAATTGTGAATTTTGGTTTTTTGATTGATTTGGATTATGTAGTGAGCTGTGAACAAACAAAAAATATATATTTTATGAATCAAAAGTACTATTAACCTAAAAGAAGAATACGATGGAACTGTGTGTTGGATCATGTACTATTACTCTTATATCATGACCACGAACTTTGAATTTCTAAGGCCACCCAGAGGGATTCCAATAGCTTCGACCCGATTAGGAGAACACTACTCTACCGCCAACTTGCTTTTTGGTACCATACCGAAAAGTAAGTTGGCCTATGTGTTTTACATGTGGCTCTTTAAAACTGGTTTCACCCGTATATAGTGAGCCATAAAAGTTGTTACCAAAGAGGGATAACCAGACCAAAAAGTTGTATTTCATCCCAAAACTTGTAACCCTAAAAAATATTGTAATCTACCCCACAAAATTGTAACATACCAAAAAAATTGAAATCAAATCCATGAAAGTTATAACTCGAAAAAAGGATTAACCCACCATTAAACTTGTACAACATCCAAAATAGTTGTTGTCTTACCATAAAAGGTAGAATCCCAGAAAAGTTGTATCTCATCATTAAAGTTGTACCCCCACCCCCAAAAAGTTGTAATCATACCATGAAAGTTGTTGTCCACCAAAAAGTTTGAAACCAAATCTACAAAAGTTATAACCCAAGAAAAGTAGTAACCATCCATTAAAATTGTACCACGAGTTGTACCACATCCAAAAGAGTTGTACACACATCCAAAAAAGTTGTAACCGTTGTACCATTTCCAATAGAGTTGTACCCCTATCCATTAAAGGTGTACCCTCATCCAAAAGAGTTGTAATCCTACCTTTAAAGTTGTACCATATCTATTAAAGGTGTACGTACATCCAAGTTTGTGATGTTGACTTCATTATTTTCAAATTTTATGTTAATTTTATTATATGGAGTTTTGATGATTAATTTTTGTGGAGTTGGAATATGGGTTTGCAATTGACCGTTGGAGCTTTAAAATTGAATGTTAGGGTTACATTGATTCGAATGGGTGTTTTTTTAAATAACATTGTATTTTTAGGATTTTACAATAGAATGTTAGGGTTATTTTGTTGGAATTGCTGTTAATTATACATATTTTATGAAATTAACTGCCTAGTCGCCGTTGTAACCGCACAACCATTGAAAAATGGATGATATTACTAATTTTTGCTCCTTAGTTCTAAAGAATTTGAAATTTGATTAATTCGTCGACTTTTTTTTTACGTACTATGTTAATGCTCTCTTCTTCTAAGAGTGCATTCAATTTCTTAAAAAATGCTATTCTTTTTGTGTTTACTTTGGTAGACGTGATGAATAATGATAATTTAATTGCAGTGAAAGTTGTATTGATGAAAATAATTGGGATAAAAGGCATATTCTTGATCGTTGAGGTGGAGGAGATTAAAATTAAAACAGTACCATTTGAGTTCTTATTTGATTTTATTTGATGTTACATTGCTTTGTTTTCTTCAAACTCGCAATTGAATTTGAGGTTTGTACCAAATCAATTGGATTTTAGTTTGAAGTTATTTTGTTTTTATAACTTTTTTTGGGATTGTTCAATTTTGTAGCCACACGAAATTGGATACCAAAAATTGTGTACAGAGTGAAGCTGTTTGGCCCACTACATTTGTTGAAAGCTCCTCTCATAGCTTTCAAGGTTATGTGCTTCTCTTATTTTGTTTATTTATAAACTATCTATTTTGAGGAATTTTTGTTATCCTTTAAGGTACTTGATTTAACATTTGTTCTTGGCATATGAAAGAAGTTTATGCGTGCAATTGGGTTTAGACTTTAGACAATTTTTTTCCTATTACATCTTATGAACATGTATTATGAACATTCTTTTTTTACCAAGAAGATGATGCGTGGTACAGGGCAACGAAGATGGTAAGCAATACAAACAAAAAACCACAGCTTCATAAGCGCCAAAGAATTGATACTTCCAAATATGCATCCGGAAAGGTTAATGCTTAAATTGTAGTGTCTTTAATGCCATTACATTCACCCATTTTAATATTTTTAATTCATTGATTTAAAGTTGTAAAACATTTTGCAGCATCTTCTTGGTACCCGTTGCTCTCTTTCATTGCTAGTTAAAGTAATTCAATCATGCAATGATCAACAAAAGCGAGGCATTGTGGAAATGGGATTGGGGGGTTTAATTAGTTTGAATATCCACAGCATTAAAAGGGGTTTATGCGAGTGGATCTTAAATAGATTTGACCCTAATACATATACTCTTAACGTGCACAACAAATCTATGGTGTTTACTCTAGTGGATGTTGAATGGATATTGGGGTTAAAGTTTGGTGGGGATGAATTGGAGACGAATGACTCCCCATTATTAATTACGGATCTTCAACAATCAATATTTGAAAACAGAAAGGAGTTGTCGTTCCGTGACATAAAATACAAATTGTTGAAATTGAAATAGGATTCCGAAGAATTTTGGTGTTACTTTGTTCTATTTGTTGTTGTGCATTTCCTATGCCCCACAATGAAGAGCACAGTGAATGACACACTATTGCACATGGTATTGGACGTCTCATCTTTGAGGGGTAGGAATTGGGCCAAGTATGTGTTTGATGCTATCATTAAGGGGGTACGAGATTACAAGACGACAAAATGGCAAAGTGTCAGTGGTTGCATTCTTGTTCTCATGGTAACATTTTTTTATTTGATTAATGTTGATTGGAAGGCTTCTATGCACTTTGATTTTTATTAATCATATTACATTCGTGTCATATAGATTTGGTACTTTGAGTGTTTCACCCCAAAAATAGAGACGGTGGTGCCATTGGTTTCTCGACCATGCTCACGCATTGTATCATGGGGGGACAATGAAATAAGTAAGCGCCTACATCTTCTAAACGAGTTAGGAGGCTACAAAAGTGACAAGGTAAATCGGTGTGATATAATCCTTTTTGCATTATTGAATTAGGTTAAGTTCTTAGTTCATGTAGTTGATGCGGTGTGCCGTGACCCTCCAGTTGTCAAGGAAGTTATCAAGGAAGGCATCCACTCAGAAGCGGGAGTTCCAATGCAGTTACATAAATAGGTATTGTTCCACACCTGCCGCTAATGTTTGGATTTCAAATGTTGTTTCTTTGTTTAAACGGAAATTTTTTATTTACTTAGGATTTTGAAGCAAGGCTCTTAAGATTAGAGGTGGATCAGGCCACCACCAAGAAATCCATGCATGAGGATTCAATAAAGTGTATAATGAGCTTGCCGCAATGAAGAATTGGATACAAGAGTTGTCCGAAAAATTGAACGACTTTTGCAACAAATCTAAAGCACAAGTTGATAGTGGTGATAAAGGCGAGGCGATAAAGCTTGTAAAATTTTGTTGTTGTTTGGTGTATTATTTTTTGCATCTTTTTTTTTAATTGATAAGTCTTGGAATGTTGTACTCATAACATTGACTAAAATTGACAGGATAAAGTCAGTACAGCTGATGATGATGATTACCCTCCTGCACCTGAAGGTGGGTACCCTCATATACAGAACCTCCAAGATTCAGATAAGAGAAATATATGGACATACATAGTGGACACTTCATTGAAGGATGCGTAAGTAATCCGAGAACTTCCCTGCTTATCACAATATGTATGCATTATTGGTACAAGATTCATTAATGTATGGCGTGATTGTAATAAGCAGGGAAATTCTTGTTTCTTTTGATGAATCCTAGCATTTTTTGAGTCGTGTAGATTTGCAATCATTACTTGTACCCAATTGGGTGCGTGATTCTGTAAGTGCGTTGCCTATAACTATATTTTTGTATTCAACTATTATGAAGAATGCAAATCTGTCCCAAAATAACACTAACTTGTCACTTCTTCTCCACTTAATAGGTAATAAGTGCGGTGCCTTGTATTATGTCGACCGATGAAAAGATAGACACCACCATAAAAAAGGAGAGATGGTACTTGCCTACTTGATTCTCGGTAATGTATTTCTACACATACGTTGTGTACTCAATAACTATCTATATCAACGACACGATTCTAATTTATGATTATTGTTGGTAGCAACAAGCAATTCAATTATAGTGGATAGAGAATGGTTGTTTGGATGAGAAATTTCGAGAAGACTATGCCTATTTAATTTGTGACATTATCAAATGCGATAAGGTTTGACACCCTTCTTTAGACTGCTCTCATCTGTCCTATTCATCTTGTTGGATATTTATGTCTTAGTTTATTCATGGTTTACCTTTGTGTTCTAATGTAGATATATATACCTATTAATGATGACAACAGTCATTGGTATTTAAAGGTGGTAGATGTGAATAATAAGGCGGTGATGATTCTTGATACCTTGCGTGATCCTCGTAGGAAACATATTCGACTCTGCCAGTCTTTTAAAACAGTAATTTTATTCATACCACGTAAATTTTGTGAAAGGCGTTCCCACAATAGGCTTCATCTAAATTTATTCAAAACATGAACAGGTGAAGGTACTACATCGTCTACTTGCTGAGGTAGCGGATGATTTTGAACACATAGACAAATGGCCTATCAGTACACCAAGATGGGTGCCGGTTCAAAGCAATGGATTTGATTGCGGAATGTACGTAATAGAGTTGATCAGAGCACCGTATTTTAGTCAAAAAATCCGTATAAGGGTATTATACTTTGCTGAATTTTATAGTATGTCATATAATGTTCTTTTACAACCAGTACAGAATGAGGTTTTCAACTAGATAATGCAATATTTTCTTGCTATTATAGGAACCTACTACAGATACAAGAAAGGAGTTAGCACTTAGTCTTGTCACACATGTTGACAACATCCACAGGGACATGATAGTTTTTAGGGCGTCAAATGGTTAAGAGTTTTTTTGTGGTTGCTAGATTGTTGGTTCTAAATTTTTGAGGTTGGATTCCAATTTTTGGGTGGGGTCTAACTTTTTTAGGTTGGATTTGAAATTTTTTGCTGATTCTAACTTTTTTTGTTTGTATAGGTTAATTGGATTATGTTACTACTTTTTTTTGAGTTATGTTACTACTTTTTTACATTGATATTAGTTGATTTTTTCCTGGTGAAACCATGATTACACTAGGCCATGTTCTGCATCATCCACTCCTAAGTAGAAGTGGACAGCACAACTCGCAAATTAAGGTCAGGATATAGTTTCACTTGTGAGACTGCTACTTCTCTTCCTTCCACTGTTGTTGACGGATTTTTAGTCTTTTTAGCTGGTTTTTTTTGGCGTAGAAGAAGAGAAGGAGTTGTTGGATGAGTGTAAGCACATCCGTGAGAGAATGCACATATTGCTTGAGAGGATGCAAGTTCAGGCGGCAGTGGTGGACGGTAGTTGTAATCCCCAACATCATAGGGAAAATTCTGGATCATCAAAGAGGGACAAAGCAATGATGGTAGAGTTCAAGGGACAAGAGGACACGTCAATTATCTTCTTCGAACACATTGTAAAAGGTTACAACATGGATCCCCCAAAATTGGTGGTTCTATTTATGATTTTGATGACCTGAGCATGACAAAGTCAAAGGCAATAGATCTGTTGACGATGGAAGAGTCTTGAGCTTCTGTTTTGTCATCAAAGAAAGAGATACACCACAGACAGGTAGAGTATAGGAGGCAGATTTCTATTGCAGGAGCTACTCCGCTAGAAGGTTTGTATTGATTCTTCACTAGTGTACTAGGATGTCATCAAGTCTGGCGTGGCAATTCTTGCACCTAAGTCATTTTGCTGTAAGTTTTAGTGGCCACTCATTGTATTTTTCTCACATTGTTCACACCGGTGGGATCAACATTGGTAGCATTCCTTATTCATCAGTGTATATTGATATCTTTTTAAGCAGGTGTTTTTCCTCCGTTTGATCCTATTTCTGACAGTAAAAGTGTTGATTTGTTTGAACTTGAGGCCTCACCCCACCAACATGAGAGTCCTTTGGCTGCTGAAAGCATCAATTCTTCACCACTCCTTATTGGTCAAGATGATCATTCATTAAGTGTTGTTCCCTGGGAGCCATCAAAATTTGAAGGTTCTTATGGAAGTTTCAGTTTCAGAGGCCTTTGGGGAGTTGGCTTTAATCCTTCAAGACAAGCTTGTTACTCTACATGAATCAATGCATTTTAGTGCTCACGAGTTTATGGTCCGTGAAGCAAAAACAACTTTTGTTGCTCTGGGCCAGCTCTTTATTGATTGCAAACTATTCTATAAGAGAGTGGAGGAATTCATTAGCCATGCATCATCACTGGCTGAAATTGACTCATGCATCCGCCATGACCACCTTTCTGGTTGAATTTGGTTACAGTGGAAGGAGGGCTTGTTCCTGGTCAGCAGTTGTTTCAACCTCACAAGTGGCTGGGAGTATAAAATATTTTTTAATTAAAATGTTGAGGATATTAGATTGGAGTGCATAGACTGGTTGGTGAGAATGGTTGTTGATTGAGTGTTGGTTGGTAGAAATAGACAAATATAGTAGATATTTTGCATACATGAATACTATTTTGAGTACAATGGTAGTGCATGTCATGGCATAAGTACATAAATGCCCTTATTGTCCATTTAAACCATTATATAAGGAGACTTAAATTTGTATGCCTTGACCAGTGGATCTACATCTTTTTCTACTCTCCTCTGGGTACATCTTCATCCCTTCCCTTCTACTTCTACATCTCCTCCCTTTTATACTCTCATTTCAAGATCTTCAACTTTTTTACTTTGTTTTTGAACCAGGAAATGACCAAACAACATAAATGGTATGTTGTTTTTAAGGGTAGGGTTGTTGGCATTTACCCATCATGGGAGGAATGCCATCAACATGTTGTAGGGTATATTGGGGTATTGTACAGGAGTTTTGCCTCTTGGGAGGATGCAGAAGTGGCACTTTCCAACTATATTGCTTCTAAGTATGATAATCATCACAAAGCCGGAGGACAGATGCCACATGAAGAACTAGGTAACAGGGCACATGTCAACTGCAAAGCGAATGAATTTGTATGGTGCATTGTAGGATTGATAATAGGTATTATACTCACTCATATTATATACCACTTTGTCGCACGATTATGAACTAGTTTATGTTTATCCAACACAAAATGGCCTGCACAATTCTAATTCTTTTTTTAAGAAGAAAGAAATAATCAAAGATTTACAAGCATCAAAAATACAATTTTACACTTTTTTGGCTTTAATCGTTTAAGATGCTTTGAAGGAATTTACATTACCACCAAGGAGCCCAGACACTTGAAAACATTGAATCCACCCCTCCTGCTATCAACCCAGCCACAGCAGTGCCTACAAAATGACACTATCAAAACTGCCAACCTCCTCTGATCCTTAAAGACCATCGTTCTGCTTGGCAAAGAACCCGCACCAGCAAAATCAAAAGAGCACCCAGCAATAAATCCAGACCTTGTAAAGCATCCAAAATTTGAGACAAAATGCACCATAAAAAATTATAATTGTTTGGTTCCAAAAAATGTATTTTGTTCCACAAAATATATTATTAGCCAAGACTATATAAAATAGACTACAAAACCTCTACTATATTTCATATAGTTGGGAAAGGGCAAACCTTCCTCTTTGGGAACCTAAAACTGTATCCCAGTCCACACTATATACAAAAAAAGTCGGTGTAAATTTTGGAATTTTCCATGTAGTTTAGTAAAAAGAATATGTATCATACCGTAATCCTGAATGATGACCCAAAATTGGAGCACTCATCATCTTCATAACAAAAATTTCCACAATCATGACTATTTGGCTCCCGAGGAGCCCACTACACTAATATCCTCAGTGTAACTTTTGGATTTGCCCAATCCAAACTAATATCTCCACAGGTTTATCATTTTCTGACTTCCATCCTTGTAACGCTGTCGTGCCTTCGTTATAATCATGTCTCTTGGTTCATTGTATACATAGGTAACTAGATTAATTGCTAAGTCCATGCGCATTTGATTTGATTGCTCCTAAAGACAACAGTATATGAAGTGAGTTCACAAATTAAAATGTAAAAACAAATTTAGTTCAGTAAAAAGAAAACGTATTATACCGTAATCCTGAATGATGGACCCAAAATTGGAGCACTCATCATCTTGATAACAAAAATTCCACAATTATGACTATTAGGCTGCCGAGGAGCCCACTGCACTTGAGTTATGGGCCAGTGGATCAATGCTGGCGTATGGTTCGGTCCGACAAGTTCAAGGACTCTGTCTAGTTCTTTAACCACATTCTTGATGGCAATGTATCGATGCTCATTGGGCCACATTGACAGTGAATCGAGTAGCAGAACTTGTTGCTCCACTACATCAACCAAGCATAGATACCAATGTATATTGTTGTCGTTGATGGGTATATATATCTACATTTATACATAAAATAGATTGACGATTATATATATGCATATATTATTGTAGAAACGATCCATCATAAATAGAGCAAAAAATCATTCAAAGAATGGAGCAACTACATACCTTTTCACAGTCCTTGAACTGTGAAATAAAGTACATTTGGAATTCAAGCAACTCAAACGTTTTGTCTTTGTATGTTACACCGAGTGCTTTTTGCTGGGTATTGGAGAGAACTATGATTAGACATTGAGAGTTTAAAATATTTTTAAATTTATAAATGTGAAATGGATCATTACCGAAAACCATGTTGGTAGGTACCACCGTGACTTTTTAGTAAATGGATTAATCTTGACGGACTCAGGAATCAGATATGGTGCCAAATTTAATATCTTCAAGAGGTCAAACAATACAAAATCAAACTTACAACAATATCATGTTAGCCACAACATTTTCATATTAGTCAATATTAAAATTATACTAAATAAATGTCTATCTAACTCACAACATCTAGTAGTCATTTTGTTGGTTTTAAGGCTTCAATCATTGCTCCTCTCGACGCATAACAAGTTTCAATGCTCACCAATACCTCACTGTATCATTAAAGAATTAGATTAGTATTTTATAATGATCCAATAATAGAGTGTTCAGGAAACAAAATATAGTAGATACCTCATGTCAAGAGGTGTGTCAAATATGTAATTGAAGACAAACAATTTGTCATTAGCAGTTATTTCGTCGATTGGTGGATACTCCACACCTAATGATGCGTTCCATGCAGTACTAGAGTCTGAAATCTGCTTATAAAATACAGAGAATCTGAAGTCTAGTTATAAAATACAAAGAGTTAATAATAATTGGACAGTTGTGTTATGTTAAATATAGAATACAAACCTCATGGATGACCACCGTGGGGGTGTGGTGATTTTGCAAGCCTTGTGTAATTTTGTTAACCTTACTTGCATTTACACTCAGGGTGTGGTGATCCTGCAAGTCTTGTGTAATTTTGTTAGCCTTACTTGCTGTCACACTCTCCTTCTCGACATCCAATAATCCCCCTGCTGCAATTGTTCCTTTATTCTTATTTTCATTTATTTCCTTCTCCTCCTCTTCATCATTAATTCCCTTCTTATCCTCATTGTCATTATCCACATTCTCTTCATTATTTTCATTCACCTTCACATCCTCATTTTGAACATTATCTTCTGTAGATCTATCCATATTCATTAATATCTGATTTTTTAGATACTTCCTCCTTTGAACATTGTGCTTAACAAATTAAAACATAGATTTACGACCAAATAATGGGATTTAATAATAATATGGATGGTATAATGTTGTCACACCATCAAAATGTAGAACGGTGATTTCAAGTATTTCGAAGGCTTCCTCTTCGAAATTCTTTACAAAATCTTTGGGGTGTATTTCAAGTGGGAGCATGAAGCCTGTGGAAGGTCATGTCTGTATACCAACTTGTTTGAAGTTTGTTTGGGTGTATCTTTCAGAGCCTTTATATCTGGTGTTTGAACCATTTGAAGTGAGACCCATGCCCGATTTTCGTGGTCGGATTCATTTGGTGCTTCTTCATCTTCATTGGTTCCTTTATTCTCAAATTTATGTTGGCAGTTGGGACGTTTAAGTTCTGTCATGGCATCCATGATTTTTGCATCATACATGCCATTGAGGCGACTTTGGTAGATAAATTTTCTTGCTCCGCCATAATTTTCTCCAGTGACTTTTCCATGATAGAAAATCTTCGCTCCAATGACTGAAAATAATATAAAATTATATTCTTCAACACAAAATTATAAATATTGTTTCATATATAACATCTGTAACACATACATTTGATTTTTCTTCGGTCTAGGCACCAGGTGACACTATGTTTGGTTCAGGTACGCCTACATGACGTGGCACTATGTTTGGTTCAGGTGCGCCTACAAGAGGTGCTACTATGTTTTGTTCAAGTGGGCATGCAGTGATAGGATGTATTCCAACAATTGGAACCTAAAATAACAATTTTCATCATACAAAATTTATATTCAAATTGAAATACATACATATCATTTAAGTGTTGTAATATGATATCTCTACATGTTTCCTACTTTTCAATTTTTTAAAGAGTGCCACACCCTCTTTGATTTCCACATCACCCCACTTTTTAATTGGCACAAGGGAAACCCCTTGACGAGTGACATGTTGCAGATAAAAAACCTACAACAAACAACTATTCTCAATTACAAAAACAATTGCAATCACAATATATAAATTTGTTAATATGCCAATTAATCATTTCATTACCTTCAAAATAAGTAAACAACCACTAATGTTATTTTGTTCATTGTCTTATATCGTTACTCTCCCTCTAGGAGGGCATCAAATACCAACTTCACCCAGTTCTTCTCTCTCAAATAACCAACTTCTACCACAGAATGGAGGAATGAATTATTAATGGAGTTCTTTGTTGAAGGGCACAGTAGACATCCAAGTGAAAATAACACAAAGACACGGAGAAAATCGTGTGAATCTTCTTTCATTTCCTGTAATTTTTCGTTCAAATATTTCAAAGAAATATCTTTCATTCCAGTGAACATTGACTTATACAATCCATTTATTTTTTCGGCTGGGCCACTCGTTTCCACGTCTATCCCTCCATATCTCAATCCCAATATATTTTCCACATCCATGGGAGACAACTTAAGGGATTTTCCGTGAATGTTCAAAACACATGATATCGGGTCAAACTGCTCAACCAACCAAGCGCAC